AAGATTAAATTTTAACCTTTAGTCTTCTGAAACCCTTAGAGAAACATTCATTTATCTGCAGCTGAAATTAATATTGGATTGCTTTATTGATTCATTGGCTAAAGCACAGACTAGCCGTGAAAATTCCTCTCTGCTTGCATTGACACATTGAACAGAAACAAAAAAAATGTCATTTAAAAGCAGTTTAGCCTTGAGAAAATGGGCAGTCATTGTGAGGTTTGGCATTCTAGAAAAAAAAAATGTTCTTCGTGTATCCCGCTTAAGAATCAAGACATTTATGTGGAACAGCTTGATAGACATGATAAATAACTGACTATAATTACATTTCTTGAGGTACTGCTCAAAGGCAATCTTATACCACAACACAGAAAAGCCTTCAGAGGACATAAGGTTTAAAAAACAAAATATCAAAAATATATAAACAACCTCCCAAACGACTCTGAGTCAGAGCTTCAATTGCAGTAAATCACCATGAATGCAATGGTGGCATATTCCTAATCTGCGGCCACTGAGACCGGGGCCCCAGCGTTTATCTTTGTGCAACAGCTTGTGATATTTAGACTGCAAATTGGCAGCAGTAAAAGGGCAATCGGTGGGTATGTTCTAGGTGATCCGGGTGACCCTACTAAGGGCGAGCTCGGCGTGAACTGACTTCCCAGTTTCTGTGTTTATACCCTGATCCCATGGTAAGTGCAAGGTAATTTGAGGTAATCACTGCTCCGTAGGGAAGGGGTAAACACCTCACAGTTACCTCTGGGTCAGATTAAGTAAAATGATAGATACGGCAGTGTAGTTGCTGTATCCCTTAATTCTCCCCTATCTCCGTAGCTTGTTTAAGTATATACGCATTTGCATGAACCATGACAGCTAGGTTTATCACACAGCTGAAGTAATGGCATAATACACCACCACCCGCATTTTCTGGTCCTTTTGCAGGATAGCAACGCTCGTCTGAAAAGTTTGATGAGAACAGGCTGCTTTGTCATGCCGACCAGCTTCACCCCTAATGCCCGGGAGCGGTGGGAGCCCTGTGTGGAGGACTCACTCTGCCCTGAGCCTCCTCGGCAGGGGGGAGTTGCCAGTCTTCTGTAACACGCAGGACGGTTCCTCTCCTGATACGTGGAAAGCATTTGTGTCTCCTGATAGGAAATTATACTGCCCACAACTGTCAGAGAAGACGACCATGGTGTTGCTTTGTTTTTTTGGATTCATGGTGTTGAATAAGGAGTTTCATCTGCAGTCAGATAAGAGCACTCGAGCAAATGATCTGAGTTTTAATCAAGAGTAACCAGTCTCACCAGTTCCTTTCCTTCAACATCTGCATCTAAACCAGATCAATTGCCAGTAAAGGGCCAATGTTACAGAAATGATCATTATTGTTTTCCCGGAGTAACTGCTCTGGCAAATATGGTTGTAATGTATTATAGCACCACAAATTTAGACTATGCCCTGGAGACCTCACAGGGGATACTTGTGAGACCTTTCCACAGTCATTTAGCGTACAAATTTGTTCAAAAAGCCATTATGCCTGGGTGAAAGGAAACTTTTTAAAGGAATTAGGAGCATATATTAACTCTACTGTTTTAAGGTGAGACTTTTCACACAAAAATATTCTAGTGGAGATGTAGTAAATTCATCCCTTTATACACAAGTTTCATCATTTGATCTGATATTTTGAATTAAGGGTACACTTCAGTTCAATTTTTTGGGGGAAAATCTAAGTCGTATTACAAGATCTACGTCTGGACCCTTTTGCTGGGGCATAATTTCCACGTCGGAGTTTGTCTGAGGTAGAATGGTAGGCCTGGATGTTCACCTCGGCAATAGACCTTACTCAGGCTAATGAATGAATGGGAAGTAATAACCGCATTGTTGGGTACACCCACATTTTCAGACAGGATTCCTACTTAATGAGAAGGAAAACTATTTTTAGGAGCAGTAGCAGAAATTTCAAAGGTTGAGACAGAATAAGATATTAATGTTTAATTCCTGTCAAATGTGGGAGTTCAATTTGACTGGTCCATCTGCAGCAAGCATGTTTCCAGGTAAGGGAATCCTGTTCCTTTATCTAGACCCTCCTCATATTCGTATTAATGGCTGTTTCAAGGTGTGTCTAATTCCATTTTCCGCCTCCTCCATTTACAATGTGTAAACATAGCCTGATGTTTATATCCTCTTCCTTGTGTAAGAGCTAGTATTTTGGCAGTAGTGCTCCTCACCTTCTAGACACACCTTCTACATTCAGTTTAGCACTTACTGATGCATTTTTATGATTGTGTTTATTACTCACTTTAAGCAGAGGGGAAAAGACAAGATGCGAAGAGGCCCTGTAAAGAAATACTGAGGATCAAGTAGACTTTTCAAAAACTTTTGGCGGCCACACATTCAACACATGACACTATGTTGCCTAATAATATGAAAAAAATTATGAGGCCATGGCTCATATGAAGCAATATTATGTGTCATATCCATCCCACAGGCCATAGTTTCCCCATCCCTAGTTTGAACATTGTAAAACATGTTTAGTCTGATACATAGATTGGACACCTCACAATAATAAATAAAAAATTAAAAAAAAACCCAGGGATCTATATTTTCAGAAGTAAATGGTGACATCTTCTGTCTCTATTACTTTAGTAGGCCACTGAGATACTTCAGAGAAGTCCTGTTTTCAGAAGTCAGATTCCCACCAAACGTCACAAATCGTACCCTTAAATAAGAAATACCTATCATCGACTGTAAGTTAAATATTTAGGGCTCCTAGAAGGCAAAACCCCCAGTCATTAAATATAATCCCTGTTTGCAGACCCTTTCAGAGACTGTCACCCAGGAAAAGCCATGTCTCTGCAAGAGGTGGCCGAAGTTCGTCAAGGTGGAAAAGCCATCTGGGAATGACTGAAGCAGTAGTAATACACTGAAAGATTTGGTAAGTGATTTGCCTTGCACAGAGCATGAAGGCTTGCACCTCTGGCCAAATCTGTTCCCTTTTGTCGTGGTTTAACCCCAGCCAGCAACCTTTATTAAACCTTACCTATTAAACCTTTGCACTGTTCAGCAATGGCTCTCCCAAGAGCAGACTCCAAGTTGCATTTCCTCACTCAGAATACTCACAAATGAGTTGAGAATTAGTGTGACAAAGACCTGAACCCTTTCTTCTTCCCATCCTCTTTGAGAACAGAAAGCAAGTTGAACGGTAGGAATAGGTGTTGAAGAAGGCAACTTACTTGTCCCGTGTTCGTTATTTAAAGGCTATTGAAAGATGATGCCTTTTATAGTGGTCTCCACGGCCACTCTGAACTGGAGAATTTGGGAATGCTTCTAACCTCCAGGGCACAGGTAAGCGCTCAAGGTAACCTCATTCCATGCTGGGGTGACACCTGGACATGTATCAACCCTTCCCTGAACCCTGTACCACAAAAAGTAAACCAAGTTTCCCAAGGAGGCTGGGAGCCATGGACTGCGTTGAGGTCCTTGAGAAGGATAGTCACTGGGCAAGGACTTAAGAGCACCACTCTCAGGTCAGTGCAAATATTGCTCTGTTTGGAAGCAGCCTACGTCACACCAAACTGTGCTGTGGGTGGGCTGAGTATCCAAGGGTTTCCTTTAATCTCCGATGATCAGAAATTGAACCCACCAGAGAATCTGACACTGGATTTCCAGATGTCTTATCAAACACATCCTTCTTCTATGGTATCGTAAGGTACCACTCACATACCCTGTTGACAGCAGAGGAGAAGATACTTTTTGATAGTTGTATTTCTCCAGAGCAATTTCAAAGACTAAAGCAATTGCTCTTTCTCTTCAAGGATGCAGGCACCATAAGATCCACAATGTCCCATTTTGTCTCCCATAGCTAAGCCAACAGCTAAGATGGTCAGGACAGATGAGAGAAGGAACTGAATATTCTCTCTTGGGCAGCATACACATTGTCTGTGATTTATGTCTGCAGTCTGTGGCTTACATGGACACTCCAGCAGCCACAGGATGATCCTACTGCAGCGACAGAATTGCCCTTTTCAATTCAAGCCTCTTTCAGAGAAAGAACCTGAGCTTGCCACAGTGAGCCAGGTTTTATCCTTTTAAGACAAAGTTGTATGAGTATGGTCCTTCAACCATCCCCAAAACATAAGGTAACCATGAAAGTACCAGCCCACTTAGCGGTAGATGTGGCCAGGAGAATATAACATATGTGTCCCAAGACAGGATTTCACTCCAACTGACTTTAAATGTGGTACATAGAGAGATGATGTCTCCTCCTGCATCAGAAGGCCTTTCGTGTGATCAACAAAGATGTGTCACTTAGGCACTCCTCAGCTTAAGCAAAGGAGATCTCAGCAAGACTCTGCTGTGAAATGGACATCAAGCTTTTTATGAATGTACTGATTTTGTCCCCTGGCCCTCATCACCACAGTCCCCGTCATGAGTCAGTGACCCTCACGCAGGTCATTTACCTGGGTGCAAGGAACATTGAAAAAGGGTCATTTCCACAGGTATAAGGGACATTCCTACCGACCAGGAGCAGATGAGGCTATGGTGACCCCATGGTGTCTATGACTGTGCCCCAGAGCCCCTGCACGCAAGCCAGCAGATGAAGATACCTACGCAGTGTATTAGGTTCCCGTCCACCTTGTACCAGTGTGACTATACAGCATGCATAGGGCAAGTCTGTTCCCACTAAATAAAGACTCCCATAGTCTTCCACTCACTTTTAAAACTGGAATTAAAAATTAAGACCAAATTCTGCTCCTAGTTAGTTCCTCAAATATACAAACTTTGCCTTTACAATACTGATTTTTTTATTCTTAAACAAGATTTAAAGTTATTTCATGATTTTTCAGGAGTGTTACATGCATTAAAAGGAAAGCAGGTAAGCACGTGCAGAGCAGTAAGATTTATTCAGAGAAAGTGTGTTTCTGTTTAAAAGAGAATAAACTGATTTTATGTAAACAACCAGAAAAACCACCCCACCCCTAGAGAAAACAGGCACACAAATACTTCACTCCTTTCATAAATAATGTATTTTATTGCATATGGCTATTAAGGAGAGCATCCATGATCAATACAGACTAAATACAATACACTACTCTAGTTCCATTTATTCTGGTCTCCAGCAGCATCACATTTATCCTTATATACAGCGTGTACATTGGAAGACACAGCAAGATAAGTTAAGTCTCTTGTCATATCACAATAGCAAGAAATATATTTAACATCTTGATATCCAGAAACAATACGTACCCAAAAAGAAAACACTGCTTAATAACTGTTAAGGTTATATAGCAAAAAATATTTTAAATTTAAGGTAAGTCAGGCAAAATGTACAAAGACCCAATATACATTGTGAAGTTTTAGCAAACATAACATTTATACATTTTGGTTCCATTCTGTAAACTAAATTAAGAATGTAAGTATTGCATATGCCTTTGTGAAATATACAGGATAGAGAAGAATTGACTATATTGTCAAGTTTTTGTTTTGAAGTTGCTGTATGCATTTTAGCCATTTGTTTTAGTGGCATGATTTCTTAATTGGTACAGAGGGCTACTTCAAAATAGAAGTTCAAAACATTGAATTCAGCAGGTACCACACTCAGTGCTATGGGGGGGTTCAGCCAGAAAATGTCAAAGGTATTTCTTTTTTCTAATTCCAGACTTGAACAAGCAGCATTTTAGAATGTCTTAGAACCATTTGTAGTATTATTATTAAAAAAAAACCCTCAAACAGATAGATTAGATATTTAAATTTATTTTAGATCTAGTATTCTATTAGCCTATGCATTGCTGTGATTTAAGACCCCAAAAATAACACAGAAAAATAGTGTGTCATGGGGTAGGGAAGGAATTAGTTTACATTCATCTTTGTCTTGTAATACAATCCTCAGTTCTAAAAATTCAGCATGTAAGCAGGAAGACCCCATTGCCATTCGTTGTATTTGTAAGACATTGACTCTCTCGTCTTCCTTAGAAAAAAAATCCCAAGAGATAACGCATCGTTAATAGTGAAGTACAGGTTCCACCAGCACAATGATTTAAAAAAAAAAAAAAAGTCTCACGTAACTCAAATAACTTAGTAATACTTACATGTCTATCAGAGCAGGCACGTGGGAGGTACCCTTAAAATGTGTACGAACTCTTCAACAAATTTATCGAAGGAGAAACAAGGTGGCGTGACATTCTGCTAGTCTGGTGCAACAGTTGTATGTGACATTTATGACAGTAGCCGCCACATCACTCGGATTTTCAGGCTACTGGAAATGTGATGCATGGGTAGCCTTGAAAAGAACTCAGGATAAGTGACTGCAATGGTTCTTCCCTGTAATAATGCCTGCAGCTGCAATGGTGCTTTCCTGGTAAAAGGCAAATATCAGAACTTTCTAGATGGCAAGATAATACTGTGTTAATATTAGCGCTTGAATCTGCCCGATACCCATTATCATCCCTGCATTCCTAGCATGCCTACGTGGATTTTTGGTTACAAGAAACGCAGCTAAGAACAGGGTTAGCTGACAAAAGTGAGCTTGTAAATAGGAGAAAAGGCTTTTGCAATCTGAAGTACCTACATAAACACCTACATAGAGAGGATTAAACAAGTGTGTCAAAGGTAAAGAGAGATACCCCCAATACAGTTTGATGTTTTTAACCTACGTTGCTTCAGTTATACTGTTTGGTTGGTTGTTTTTTTTTTTTTAACTACTCTGAATCCTCCGTCCAAGTCCGATTCACAGAGTTTCATCCCATTTCAGACTTTTCAGTGCCCTGGTTCGGCTCTGTCTGAGAAGTAAACCCTGCGGCTAGTGATTCACAACCCAGCAGCAGCAGCAGCAGCTGTATGCGTTGCAAGTTCAGTAAGGCTGACGACCGTTCTTGAGAGAGACTCAGCATAGAGATAAAGGAGGTCCTGTCGTACACCAACACCGCAAATCCGGCTTTACTTTGAACTGAGGTAGTACTGTGGTAGGCTTGAAATTATGCCAGTAAATACCAGATCTTACTGCTTCAGCAGGTGTTACAGAATCCCCTAATATGCCAAAGAATAAATACAGTTTGTCTTTGCAGAAAAAGGAAATGAAGGCATTGGCCGTTAGTTAAAGAGGCCGGCAGAAAAAGTTCTTACGATCTAAAGAGCATCTCCAACTTCTGTCGAAACAGCAGCAAAATGATACCGTAGATGCTATGGACAGGTAATGAGTTAGGCAGGTTGCTTTCCCTTCCTCCCAGATTTGTTGCAGTTTAGTCCACAACAGTTAAGTAACTGTCCGGACCAACAATAACAACAACAACAACAAAAAGTAAACCTTAAGCAGCTTCAGTTACAAAAAAAAACCCAACAAAAAAACCAAAACAAAAAAAAAAGTGTATGCCGAGCAGCTTCTTTGAATGTTGTACTCTGTTGTTTGAGGTCATGGTGAGAAAACTAACTCCTTCACTCTGAAAAGAAAAATGAAAGAAAGTCAATAAAAGCTGAAAAAAAAAAAAACCACCAGCGATTATTCAGAACGGGTTTTCATGGGAAAAAAGCTATGCAATAACTGCTTTTTATATTTGTATACATCATAAGGTATTGCAGAGGCAATGAAGGGAGTACTCCCCAAACCAATACCACCTCCTTTTTTTAGAGCTTTTCGTCTGTGGGTCTTCAGGCCAGCACACCACGGGAGACAGAACTGGTTAGAAAACCCGACACAAAATCCCCCCAGTTCAAGTTGTGACCATCACTGTTTGCATCAGTGGAAAGGAAAAGGGGTTGCAGAAAGCAGGTACAAACTCAACTGTTTTTTTTTAGTCAGATGGGTGTTATCAAAAGCTGTCCATTTCCAGACATTAAAAACAGGTTTCTTGGGACTACATTGTCTTTTTTTTTGTCTTCTAAAAACATCAGCAAAGTATAAAAGAACCTTCTTCTAATTTAGTTATTTGATTTACTAAATAACTGTTATTCCAGAAGTAAAAGAAGTGGGTAGGTATGCAAATGAAAGGAATCTTCTCCAGATTACTGACTCCAAAGCTGCTTTAAACAGTCAAGGTGAATTATGCAGTAACATAGAAACCGATTACAAAGTGACCCATCCTATTTTAAAGAATGCAGCTGACTCCCTTTGTGTTTTTTTCACTGCAAAGAATTAACGGATAGTATGTGCCACCACCGTAAAGGGACATTATTATATTGATTAACTCACAACATTAAGATGATTTGTTAACATGGTCATTAAAAAAAAAAATCAAAATTTCCCTTAGTATGTTGTTTATTGTGTGGATTTTTCCTGTTTGCTCTAATATTTGTGGTTTTTTCACTGCAAAGAATTAACGGATAGTATGTGCCACCACCGTAAAGGGACATTATTATATTGATTAACTCACAACATTAAGATGATTTGTTAACATGGTCATTAAAAAAATCAAAATTTCCTTAGTATGTTGTTTATTGTGTAGATTTTTCCTGTTTGTTCTAATATTTGGAAAGCAGCAATGCACAAACAGTAGTGATTAAAACACCAAGACTGTAAATTTTACATGACAAAACACTGACACCTCATTTCAAAAGGTGCCAGCTAAGTGGTAAATCCTGATACAACATCAGGCTGCAACATTACATTCACGCTAAGTGCTATTAATAGTGTCTAGTTCATTTAATAGTTTATAACAAGTTTTTTTGTTCTGTGTTGTCCCCAAGTTTACATGTTAGATGGAAATTTTAGTGAAGATGTATTACACAAGTTTTCCTAAAAATGTAAGTTATTTGGAACACTTTAGGAACTAATATTGTTACTTAGAACTAAGTCTATAAAGGACATAACCCATTAATTTTGACTGTATTGATACAAGAAGTCAGTATTCCTGTATATTTTTAATTCCTTTGGGACCATAAAACCAAAATAAATTATATATGAAACCTGGATGTCCAAGTAAGCATAGTGCTTATCTGTGCAAGTTTCACTCCATATAGGCCTCTGATAAGCCAATACAAAGGCTTTTCCTTCAAGTCTACACAAAAACAAAGGTTGACATATCTTGGCATATATGTGAGAATTGCTGAATTGCTATTGAATCTCTCAGAGCTAAGGTTTACTTAAGGAATTAGTCCTGCTGGAGTCAATTGGAGCCGCTATGTGATCAGATACTTAGGATATTACTTAGGATTTTATTTCATGACACAGCCTGAGATGAATTAATAGCTTGCCAAGACCAAAAGGAGAGCATCTCATTGCCCCCACCCATTGCCATTTATTTGCTGCCACTTTCCTGATCAGAAACTACGTCAAATCTACCCATTCAACCTTTAGAAAATGAGCTTGCTTTCTTTGGGCTGGGAGGGTGTTTCAAATTAAGAACTTGAATTGACTTACAATGCAATCAAGGGAGCCCCAAAACTGCCATCACCATCCAGTAAGGCTGCGTGGGAGAACGTGTGGCAGGATGGATGGCTCTCAGAAGGGAGCAGAGATCCCTCATTTGAGGAAGAGCTGCCTAACAAACCACTTTGTTCCGACTTTTGTTCAGGGGAGCAGGATAAACACATCATGTAGGCAAACAAATGAGTGTTTAAAGATACATGCTGACTCTGTGATATTGCTTTCCTCCTCCAAATGGAAACCAACCTGACAACTAAATTTAGATTCCCGAAAGTGGCCACATGATAGTGAAAGCCAAAGAAAGTTAAAAAAAAAAAGGATTCATGTGTTCAGATAGGGAAATCAGAGGAAGGTATTTTTGTACATGCAAGAACCACAAACGAGTATGTTTCCAGAAGTATGCCAGCCTAAGGCGGTCATCAGGGAGGATTATTAGCAACTGAGTAAACCTGCCATTGTTCTTACAGTACATCAGGTACTTTCCAGCCAGAATTAAACTGGAGCAGGTGAAGTGGCCGATGCTTCAAAGCACTTCCAAACTTGGTTCACAGGGTTTTGTAGGTGGACGATGGGACTGTGGGCACAAGCCTAAGAGCCTATCAGCAATAAACACGTCATCCAGTGAACCTATAATGCTGACCTATAGCTCAAAAACTAACCCAAACGTAGTCTTCAATAACGAAACAATTTCCTCTGACTTCAAGAAGCTTTGAATGAGGTTTCGAAAAAGCTTTTCAATCAAGAAAGGAAAAATAACTACTGCTACCACTTGCTCCACATAATGGCAATGACAGCTTCAGAGGAAGCCTACTTGTAAGAAATAAGTTGCAAGTTCCATGCTAAAGTAAAAATAAAATAATAAAATTACATCAATATCGCTATTAATTTTTACTTCAGTGATTAGTATCTTTTACTTATTTCCTGTCACAGGTCAACATTCTACTTAGACAGCAAGTGACACCAGTATACATTGTCTTTGTCCAGGAACTAAACAAAATTCCTACAGAACACGAATATATTCTTTGATAACCTCATTCCCCGTGGGCACGCACAAATCAAAATACAAAGTCCAGCTCTGTGTCAATACTGAAGCTTCCTCTTCATTTTGGGCTTTATTAAGAAAAGCATCCACGATCACTGCTGAGTTCCCAAAACTACTTAAAGTCATCCGATTCCACCAGTGCTTCCTGGGGAATAAATCAGATAATAAACACACACACACAAATTGCTAGGAAACTACCAAATACTCAAAGACTTGTTAAATATACTGTGAAGAGAATACAACGGTTAGTCAATTAAAGAAGATCTAGTCTGCTTATTAATTTTCAAAGTCAGTAAGCAATGAATAAAAATTTTCTTAATTCCTAAAAAGAATTCTCATCTGCTAACAAGCATGCAGACAGAAACAGCTATTCGTGTGGCTCACGGCAAAACACATTGCTGGTTATTCATAACCAGTAAATTTATTCCACTGGCAGCGCGACTGCCAGGGCGGATCAGGCATCGGACGCAGAACCCCCAGCTCCGCCACGGGCTTCTGCCCTGACTCGAGGCAAATCACTCAGTGGCTTTGTCCCTTTGTTTCCCCTCCCCACGCTGCCTGCCAAATCGATTAAGGCTCTGATCCCGCTAACTAACTTTTACTGGAAGAGCAATCCTACTGATACAACCGAATCTGGAGGTTGACACCACATATGTCTGCAGGCAGCAGGCCAGGCCATTAGACGGCACAGCCCAAGGAACCGAATCCCACCCGCAGGGAGATGTCTTTGCCCGCCCCGACACCCGGGAGGAGACGCATGGGTGAGGCAGCTGCCCCAGCAAGCTGCACTGCCCTCCCTACCCTCCAGCACCGTGCATTGTACCTGGCCAGGCACCCCGCAGGAGAGGGGCTTGCAGGCACCTGCACGGGCTGTAGCCTTTGCCCTTCAGCAGCACCTTCCCTCCGCCCAAAGCAGTCAGCGTCAGGAAGCAAGCGGAGCAGGGAGGCAGGCGGCAGGGGCTGAGGGTGGGGAGGGACAGCATGGGTCCTGATGGCGATAAACCCGTGCCGCCCTGGCACCGACGGCAACGGGAGATGGTCTGAACTGCAGTCTCCCAGGGCTTCTTTACGGCAGGGATTGTAGGATGCACACCCACACATTGTAAGGTCACAAATTTGGCCAGGCATCCCAATGCGAATGCAGCCTGCCTGCTCCCTGGGATGCTACCGGGGAGGTGCACAGTAGGAGCCAAATCCTGACCCGGCTCTGACTCTCATTAAGCACTTTAATGAATACTATGCTTAAGTACATCAGTAACCCTGCTAAAGATAACAGAACAACTCACATGCTGAGCTATGGCTCTCCACAAGTAATTCCAGGGAATCTGAGCTCCGCTCAGAGGGACCGCTCATACCAAATAAAGCCAAGCTCGGCCATCGTCACAGGAAAAGGTTTCAATCAGAGCGTAAACATTTGTCTCACCAACACTTTGCAGGAAAACATAAAGTAGTATGCTCTAACAATTTACAAAGCCCATGAATAACATCCATCCAAAGTAAAATGTTTCCACATTTGATGGGAAAAACAAGTTAAGCCATGAAATGAAAAAGTCATGTTGTTGTTATGTTTTTTTAAACAAGTCATGGTTGATCATCATTGGGAGACACGCTGCCCCAAGTAACTAGGCTCTTTTGTTATGTTATGCCACTAAGAAACAGTACGTAATGTTATTTAGCTATGTCTCTGTTGTTTTATGAATTTGGAAAAGCAAGCATCGGGTCAACATAGATTCTTCATGAATGATAATAAAAAAAATCACTTAATTTCTTTAAAGTAGTAAAGTAGGGATTTTGCAGCCACAGTTATCTATATTAAAGTGAGCTTTATAGTACTTTTGACTCTTGTGTCAAATAGTTAAAAATCATAACATCTTGAACTGCATTAAGATAACCATGGGGAAAGATATTATCTTCTAAAGTGGGAAACAAAACACTAGATTATCTGGAAAAAGATGCTGCACGTCAGCACCCGCAAGTACTTTTTTTTTTTTTTGTCCTAGCATACACACGAGAGGCTAAAATGTTAATCTGATGGC